CAGTTAAGCCTCTGACTTTGGCTCAGGTCATGATCTCAGGGTTCATAGTTCCAGTTCCACATTGGGCTCTGTCTGTGCTGATGACTCAGAGCCTAGAGCCTGCTTCAGATTTTGTCTCCCTCTCTCTCTGCCCCTCCTCTGCTCTTGCTGTTTCTCTCTCTCTCAATAATAAATAAACATTAAAAAAAGAAAAAAAAAAGATGGGCTATCAGTGGTGTGAGGGAAAGATGGATATGGAAATGGATTGATCTCTTCTGTTTAAAAGCTTGGTTGGGGGGAGGGGGGTGGCTCTCTGGCTCAGTTGGAAAAACTTTGACTTGAGCTCAGGGTAATGAGTTGAGTCCCATGCTGGGTGTAGAGATTATTAAATAAATAAAACTTTAAAAATTAAAAAAAAATTAAAATTAAAAATAAAAGCTTCTGGAACCATGTGGGTTTCTAGGGCAGGGGCGTGTTTCAGAAAAAAAGGCAGGATATGTCAGATTTCTTCTACTCTTCCTGCCGCGAAAGAACAAGAGCCAATTGCTTTTTTTCCCTGAAAAGTAGTATGCACAACCCAAAATTAAGTTCCTGGGAATTCACCAGTCAAAAAAATTGGTGTCCTCTACTTACGCTCTCTTTCTTTTCTCAAAAATAAATAAACATTAAAATAAATAAATAAATTTAATTTTAAAAAATTCGTTGTTCCAGGAAATGTAAAGGATGCTTTACAGGACCGGAAACAGGGCCAGTGCAGTCCAGCAAACCCTATTTCTAAATGAGCATTCCACACAGAGTCGGCTTCCTCTCCACTACTATCAGGAAAAATCAGGTAAAAAGCTGGAGGCTGCATCTGTTCCACGTACGATGTGGGGGCTCCGATCTCCCACGTGCAATCATCGCCACCCCGCGCCCGCCCCCCTCACCTTGTTCGTGAGGTAAGACGCCAGGTAGCAGGTACAAAAGGTAAGGCCCACCAGGCACCTCCTCACGCACATCGGGCAACGCGCGCCCCTATCCGGGAACCCCGCGGCAGCTCCGCGGCAGCCCCCGAAGCAAGGCCACAGCCACAGCTGCCAGGAAAGCCACATGGCTCCAAGCTCGGCCAATCCGCGCGGGGACCGCCCCTGGCGCCTGCCTCTTAAAGGGACCCGGCCGCCGCGGACCCGGCAGCTGCCCTGTGGGCGAGGTCGCTCTCTGCTGTCTTGGGAGGTAGGGGTAGAAAGATCGCCGGGCCGGGGCTGAGACCGACCCCACCGCCTGCGGGGAAAGGGCGGACACTAGTCCCTGTAAAAAAAGTCGAAAATGGCAGACGAGGGGAAAAAAGCAGTTTACAAAACAGTTCACGACATTGCATTACCGTTTAAAGAAAAATGTTCATAGCTGTCATCTAAACGATGGGACGAACATGTTTATATGCTTTAATGAATTTGCCCTGTTTTCTACACCGAGTCTGTATTACTTTTGCAAACGACACCAAAAAGTTAATGATAAGTGTTATTTTTTTTTTTATTTTTTTTCAACGTTTATTTATTTTTGGGACAGAGAGAGACAGAGCATGAACGGGGGAGGGGCAGAGAGAGAGGGAGACACAGAATCGGAAACAGGCTCCAGGCTCTGAGCCATCAGCCCAGAGCCTGACGCGGGG